CCAGCCGCACCGCCCGCGCCCAGCAGCGCCTAGTACCGAGGGTCGGTCGCACCCAGCTCGTGCCCAGCACCGTGCCAGGGCCCCAGCAGGCCCGGCATGAGACCGAGCCCGGCCAGTCCATGCAGCCCATGACCACCCGGTCCAGAGTGAACCGGTGGTCCGACCCGGTCCGGTTCAGCCCGACCCGGTTCAGTTAGTGAGAGAACCGGCCGGTTTAGCCGGCGGTTCGAGTCCGTTTTGGTTCGTGATTTTCGGTCCGAGTCTTTTTCCGAAATTTAAGTATTTTTTCGAGCCAAACCAAATCAGTTAAGCATATCAGTATAATTTCCGTACTTAGAATTATTTTAGTGAACCCGTAGAGCGTTCTTTAATATCCGGATGAGTAATCTGATAGAGTAGAGCATCCTAGCATATATTTGAGCATATGACGAGCATAGTACTTAGTATATTTTGTTTGCTTATATTTTTATGTAGCTTGAGGAGTCAGCTACCAGCACAGCCGCACTTACTCGTTTTCAAAACCGATCAGGTGGGGACCCAGTCTGGGTTATACATTGAGTTTAATAGTCGATATCACGTTCAGGTATGTATATGAGTTTTATCCACTTGGGTTAAGGCCAAGTTTGCCTTCCCTAAGTTCTGGTGGTGGCCCAGTTTGCCCTAGTTATACCACCAGAGTGTGCACACGGTTACCGGCCAGAGAGTTCCGGGAGTTACCGGCCAGAGAGTTCCGGGAGTTACAATTTACTTATATATACCAGTCTGTGATATCATTATTAATATTGCTGTTTACTTTAGAATGGGTTTTTATGGAGTACAAGTGGACCGTTCTCACCCCCACTTTATATTTTCAGATGGCAGGGTCGGCGGGCAGGCGTGAGATGAGCTGTGGTGGTGGTGCTCGTGAGTTCCGCACGAAAGCTGTTCCCGGGACATTTGTTATCGTTTTGTATAACTAAATAAATCCACGCACTTTTAGACTTCCGCTATGTTTGTGTTTGTTTCGAACATGCATGACGTTATTTTCAGACTTAAATAATTTTACCCGGTTCGCCAGTACGAACGGGTCCAGACTAATATGCATGATTCGTTAAAAATATGAACCTGATTTCTTTAAGTCTAAAACAGTCGTTACACCTAGGTTAAAGAAAAGGGTTTTTGAGCAGAAAAGTCCTTAGCAGCATCCCGAGATAGTTTGCAAATGATTTCAAAAAATTTATAAGCGTTTTCGAAAGAGATAAAGTTTGCGAAAAATTGGCCCTAAGTAGCGGGGTGTTGCACTTGTTGCCCTTTACTTGAAAGTTACATTTGACCTTTTGTTGGTAAACGAGTTTCTCTGCCTTGGCTAAATTAAGCCCTTGAAGTCTAAGGGAAGGCATTCTAGACTTAGTGTCGGTGTCATTGGGATTGTCATAGAGCGTTTGTTGGGAAAGCTTGAGGACACTCTTTGCATCCTTGGCCCGAGAGGAGATATGCGAGAAGGATTCCTCATTAAGTGCCTTAAGCTTGCTCTTAAGGTATTGCCTCGTATCCCCCCCTCCTCCTTGGTTCCTCATGCATAAGGCTTTCAAGCTGAGTGGTCGCTTGTTTGAACGACCTAGAAGGGGTTGGGCAAGTTTTCAAGGCAAAATTCATCATGATTAAGACTTTTGAGCTGGGTGGTCGCTTGTTTGAAAGACCCTAGAAGAGGGTTGGGCAAGTGTTCAAGGCAAAATTCACCTTGATTAAGACTTTCGAGTTGGGTGGAAATATGAACGAATAATAGAGTATAAACAAGATTCGCTCTTTACCACGAGATTTTGAGTCTCACGTGTCTACTATTTCACCACCAAGGCATCTTCTTCCAAAGCATACGACTTTTCTGGATGTAGATGATGATCGCGATCAATTCATTTTTCAAATCCTGCTGCAGCTGCACGAGCCCTTCTTGTTTGAACGACCCCAAATGGAGGTTGGGCAAGTGTTCAAGGCAAAATCTACTATGATTAAGGATTTTGAGCAGGGGGGTCACTTATTTGAACGACCCAGAGGGGGTTTGGGCAAGTGTTAAGGTAAAATCCACCATGATTAAGGCTTTCCAGCTGGGTGGTCGCTTGTTTGAACGACCCCACAGAGAGGGGTTAGGCAAGTGTTCAAGGCAAAACCCACCATGATAGAGGCTTTCGAGCTAGTTGGTCGCTTGTTTGAATGACCCTAGTGTTGGATTGGGCAAGTGTTCAAGGCAAAATCCATGATGATTAAGGCTTTCAAGCTGGGTGGTCGCTTGTTTGAATGACCCAGAGAGAGAAAGAGAGAGAGAAAGAGAGAGAGAGAGAGAGAGAGAGAGAGACGCTATGTGAATTGCGCCAGATCACCGAATAAAGATCGCCATATGCGAACAAACTGAATCTTTGATAGTCGTTGTTGTTCCTCATGGACAAGACCAAATGATTTCAAAATTTCTCGGAGATAAAAAAATATAATTCGTTGTGGATTGCAATATGTCAAGTGTAACAAATTAATTGTTTGACATGAAATCAGAAATTCCATTTCATATTTGGAGTCAAGATCGACTTGGCAAGTGGAATATTCTCCAAATCTAAGGAAAATTTAAATGTATTTTATTTCTTTATTTTATGGCTTATTTAATTATGGAGTAAGTTGTTTTAATTATTTTGTAGGAAATCTGAAAGGATTTCTTACCATACGAAGCCAAAGATTGGAGAATGATGACACTCACCTAATTAAGAGAGAAAGACGCGCACACTGACTTTCCAAACAAGTTGAAGCATACTGTCCAATCTGACCCATCATTGCAAGTTGAGATTTTGCATGTAGACACGCGTCGTAGCACTACGCATTTAGCTGGCCAATAGCATTTATTGTACCTTTCTATTTTTTTGTGTATAAATATGACTATTCAGACCCCTAAAAAAACATGAAGAACACCCAAAAAAAATAGAATCAATCATATGTAAACACCATACACATACTCTCAATAAACTTTTAGGGAGAATTCTGTTGGGATCTGTGAGGATCTCGTTATGTACAAATCACGAATTCAATAGCAAACGTAAACCTATGCGCAGCGGATCTAAAGGTTTGACGTAGAGAACTTACGGCTTAAAATTTATGTAGATCTGGTTGACCACGAACGGTTGACCGCAATTGATTGACCGCAACACGCGTCTTGGGTTGCACGAACAAGATCAGATCAAAACTGGATCAAACGGATGCAAACAGATCAAAACGAAATTTTGCTGCCAGACACCTTCCGGCGGCGCGTGAGGGCGCGTGCGGCGTCAGATTCCGGCGACGTCGACGGCGATGGAAAGCACTCGTCGAGACGGTCGTCTGGGTATACTGTACGTCTCAATCGGACTTCCGGTTAGTTCTGTAGGTCAAAATCTATTTCGTCTCGGTTTACCTACAGATCTTCTACTGTATTACTCAATACACCCTTCTTCAACTTGTACCAGTGGAGCAACAAGAAGAAGATAAAGCTCGAATGAGATCTAGAGAGAGAGGCGTGTTTCACGTGAGAATGAGACTTCTGTTCTCTTCTCATGAGCTTAATGATGTATATATAGAGCTACAGTAGGGACCCTAAGGAGATTAGGAAAAGGGCTCCTTAATTAATTAGACAAACTGTGGGCCAAACCCACTCCTCTAATTAATTAAATAATATTAATGGGCCACCAACATTATATTATTGCACTCCCTTTCCCTAGCCCAAATTACATTTGAGACTCCAATAATAATTACTCGATTTACCTCCCCACGTTTAAGATATAATGTCCATTAATTAATTCGATTACTGACAATCAAGAATTAATTAATTTATTATTATTTCACCGAAGCTAGCGCTCGTTCATCACATTCTTATTATGCCGGAATTTAATCCACCTGCAGGGTTTAGCATAACAATCCTTCATGAACTCACTCCGGGGACATCATCAAACTAACGCACATGGTGACCGTAAATATCCTAACAGCACATCCTATATATAATAATATTACCCAAAACAGTAGGAATATTAATCCAGCGAACTGAACCTCACCCATGTGAATCAAAGTAATATATATTATATATATCTGCCTGTTTAATATCTTACGGGTTAAGAGAACGCAGTAATTAACCGAGGCCTAGTTCATTTACGACGATCAGTATAAAATGAACTTCTCCTCTCTGGGATCCTGTTCAATACATAAATGTACTAGTGCAACTAATCAGTCAAGACAAACTGTACAGTTGACACTACAACCGTTCGGATGGGGTGTTCATGTCCATCTAGGTTGTGAACAACTATTCTTGTTCGCAAGTGACTGATAGAGTGATCTTCGGTTCGCCTGATGACGACCCACCCTATCTAAGTGCAGAACAACAGAACGTAGAACTTGTTTAATCTAACATGATTCTCATTCATAAAGGGTAAATGTGTAATAACATGCAAAGCCAAGCTTTCAGTATATAACACTAACAAATTCCACTTTCCTTGTCGATCTCGCCTACAGATCGACAACTTTATTTGTCATATTTTCTCTTTTAGTTATTTTTATTGGCTTTATTACGATTTTTTATTGATCTATCATAATCCCTATAATTAAACTGCTCATTAACACGTAACCACAAACTGTTGGCGGTCGACCATCAACATAGATGAAATACTATTATAGCAATTCTACCTTTGCTATATACTACACTAGAATGATACTACTCTCGTTATAGTTTTATTTTGTATAACGCGGCCTATTTCTAGATAACGAACATTATCTCGTTACAAGCAATCATAACGATAATTTTTCCTTTTATGAGATATTGTTATAGCAAGACTTATTTATGCAATGATATACATAATGATACGTATCCCTGTAAAAAAAATACGACAATAACGATACTTATTTCAACAAAAGTAACGAATCTAAATGATATAATATTTAAACAAGTTTCCAAAAATATTTATCTTTACATGATTTTTCAAATAAGTTGGACATGATTTCCAAAACATTACTATAGTCCAATGAATATTCAGTTCCTAAAGGAAACTAATGATCAAAATGTGAAGCAAAAATCTCAGCTGCTAGTTTCTCACGCCAATAGGAGAGGGACGCCATTCTTTTTGCCGAGCGAGAAGGCCCAGAGACTAACGTTCTTGCCGAGGGATGAAAACGAACATTCTTGCCCAACAAGAGGTTATAAGAGTGTAAGGAGAGGGACGACGTTCGTTTGTTTTCTTTTGATGGTTCTTACCGAGTGCGAGAGTAACATAGATATTAGTGTGTGGTGTAGACATATCTATTATTATTATTATTATTATTATTATTATTATTATTATTAGATATCTTAGAGAATAAGTTAGGAATTGTTTAATATTTAATAAGAGTTCTTGTCTTGTTGGACAAGTTAGGTCTAGGTTAGGAGTCTTATATAAAAGACTCCCTCTAGTTTATTTTCATTAGTTGATTACGAATAATAATATGATTTGATTGGTTTTATCGAGAGAGTATCTTGTTTATCTTTCCCATTCGTACGCTTCCCATACATCAGTGTGGGAGATATATAAGTCTTTCAATTAAAAGTGTGGGAGATATATTAGTTCGGATGGAAAACCATTTGTTTTCAATGGAGACCAAGAAGATAGAAATTGAGAAGGATATATAAGTCTTTTAGGGCACGTTTGTTAGCCTAGATAGGATAGGATTACGCCTCCAATCCACCCCTAATCTCATGTTTGTTTACCATGATTCCGGCCCGCAAGATAGGACAAGGCCCGCGATGAACAGTGTTAAAATCGTGGGAAATGGAGACTAATGAATCTTAGCTGAGGGATGAGATAACTTTGATCTGCACAGTAAAAAATATGCAAAATTACAAATGTATCCCTAAAAGTAAAAATTGTTAATCATATTAACCTCTTTTGTTGCCAAAATTACCCCTTCCATCCTTTCCCCTTCTCTACACGCGACTGCACCCTGTTCAAATTTTCTCCATCCCAATTCCCAAATATTTCTTCAGATTTTTTGTTTTTTTCCTTTTTTTCTTTAATTCTTTCCACCCCTAGTATTATGTTCCTCACTGTCACTGCAGATTGAAGACGCTTTTTTTTTCTAATTATGTTTTAATTCCTTTTATTTTGCAATTTGTTTTCAAGAGAGCCACGATTTTGGGTTGGATCTAGTCTAAGAACTAGAAGAAGAGTGACGATGGAGATGGTAGAAATCGGTCGGGCGCGAAGATTTCGGAAGAGGAGTAGCGACAACGAGAGGAAGAAGGCTAATTTGCTCAATTTTTATTTTCTTTTGTTCTAGGGTTTCAGAAAGTGTGGGTCGAGGTTGTCGAGCCAGAGCAGCACAGAAGAGGCAATCAACGAGAGGTCAGCTTTCATTAAAAAATTCCTAGCATTGTGGATTATGTTGGAATTGGGACTTTTGCGTTTTTCGATTATTCTACTGGAAAACTTCTTGGCTTTGCACTTGTAATTTTCAGGGGTTTCTTTCGGAATGTAAACTAAAATGGTTTAAGTATTTCAATAATTTCTGTGTGGTGTTTCTAGGTTTATTTGTTTCTATATCGTAAGCTCAAATAAGGAGAAAACGAAGAGTGTGGAGGTTGTTGACTCTTGTGTGTGTGTATTTTATTAGGGAAATTGAATTCTAATCATTTGTGGATTTTGAAGATAGTTTCAGGGAATGTATGTTCTTATTCAGTTTCTGGAGACATATGCAAAGTTAGTGTTTTTGTTAGTGCATTGAAGCAAGACATATGCTCGTGGCGATAGAGATGGATAAATACAAAAGCCTAGAGATCAGACGGAGATCCACGAGTCAGCCCTCTTACACCCCCTGGCGGACTTTTCAGGATCCGCCTTCGCCGTCTATCAACAACCTTGTTTTTCCCGGCGAGTTCGTAAGCCTTGAGGATGTAATTAGCTCCTTCCCTGTGGACGAGCGCAAATCGATTAGCTGATCAGGTGTTTAGGTCCTTTCAATTCTACCATGCTCCCGTTGTTTATCTATGGAGTTGCTTCGGCTATGAAAACGAGCATCGTTCTCAGCACATTCAAGCACCTGAAGTGCCTGTTCGTGTACTGTAGTTGCATAACCTGCTACAGTCTGAGAATATTGTTCGAGGAAAAGGTTCAATAAAGGACCCTGACAAAGTATGTGGTCTAATGTGATGTCTAATTACAAAATAAGTATACATTTTGTTCATGGATGCATAGGTTAAATATGCTATAATAATTGTTTGATTAATGATATATGTTGAGCATTTTCTCCATTACTGCTCCTGTTATTTGCAGGAAGAGAAGTTACGTGGACGTCCAGACTATGAAACGTGTAAAAACAGGACGTTGAGTTGCAAAATCATTAAGTTGTTCAGTCATCAACTGAGTCATACTTGTCACATGTCATATGGCACCTAGGCGAACAGGATATCGTGGTTGATACGTGATTGGTTTTCTTTGCTCCTAGTTTCTCAAATGGAATATAGGAACAGGAAGATGAGAGAAGACCAAAAACAAAATGAAGTTTCTTAAATTGTTGATCTTAAAGTGGGCTGTGGCTATGTTTGTTTATGTAACATTATTCATTGAATTGATTCTTGTGTTAGTGTGAATTGTTATTGTTATTGGTACTAGTAGTGAGTACCTTCAAGAACTCAAAGATTTTGTAAGCAATATGTGACAACAAACGACTATTTTAAACGTGATTTTGGGACACTTAAAGCCTCAGCAAGCTCTAATATTTTGTTAAAACAATCAGCTGTGTGCAGTGAGACATTGCTGGCGGACAGAACTATGATGTCTCTAGTTATTTAATTTTTCCTGCATTGAGTTGTGGCTATGTATAATACTATAATGTCATAAATGTTACTATCTACTTCATTGTGATTGCCTTGTACTATATAATATTATTTGGGTAGGATTATTCGACTTTGACGGTTGTTTTCTGCTATGAATTGTATAATAATAAGGTCCTTGAATAAGATTTCTTAATTTCTGCTTTGAGTTGTTTTCTGCATTGTGAAAAGATTGAGTTGTTTTCTACATTGTGAAAAAATAAGATTTCTTAATTTCTTGAATAATAATAAGGTCCTTCAAGTATGAAAATATATGATTTCTTAATTTTAAGGTGTTGGTTCATATAAACTCCAATTTCAATGAGAGAAGTACAAAACCAAAAAAAAAAAAGAATGAACATAAGCAGAAAAACGTAACTTAAACACATAAAAAAAGACAAAAAAGTGTCATGGGTTTTAATGTGTTTTAAATTGAGGACATTTTGGTAATTCACAATTTTTATCATATATCTTATCTAGGGAAACAAATGTGAAACACAAAAATTAACATAATCCTATCTTGAACCAATCTTTCTTAACAAATATAGTTGACACATAATCTTAACAGTACAATCTTGATTAACAAGATAAAAATTATCTAATCTAGTCTAGCTTAACTTAACAAACGTGCTCTTATTATATTATGAAGTTTTCAATTAATTTTTATACAATTTTGTGGGTCAAAAGTGTCATGTCATTTAAACAAATTCATGTTTATGTTTTGAGAAGGCTATTTAAGGAATTCCCACACACGCTCCTTGGAATCCCTACCCTCCACCACCGCCATCACCACCCGCAGCCGGCAATTGATCTCTCCGTCGCGCTCCGTTCAAATGGGTGAGCAGGCCCACGTCCAAATCCTCAACCCACCCAAACCCGAGTCCCATTCGCAGGCCTCGATCGAAACCTCCGAGGCACGACTCGACTGTCATCCTCAATCGGCGCCACCTTCCGATGACGGCCAACAGCTTCCTCATCCTGCATCTGCCGTCCATGTAACCGAGCCTTCCCATGTTCCTCCTCCCGAAATCACCCACATTCTCCAGAATCCTTCCAAAATTCCTATTCGACCTCAGAAAATCCGCAAACTCTCGACAGCCACAGAAAATCCCTCCACTCCCCGTGCTTCTGCCGATGATTCATCTGCCTCGGCGTCGTCTTCCTTTTCCGTCTCCGCCTCCAAACACCGGCGGAGGAGCGCCTCCCAATCTTCCATGGCCGTGATCCAAATCATGAAACCCCTGATCGCCGATGGGGAGATCGAGTCGGCCATCCGCCACCTCCGCGTGACAGATCCCCACCTGGCCCCGCTCATCGACACCCTCCGGCCACCGGAGTTCCCCGAGCGCTTCCTGCCATTCCACGCCCTTGCCAAGAACATCCTCTGCCAGCAGCTCGCGGCCAAGGCTGGCGATACCATCTACATACGTTTCATTGCCCTTTGTGGAGGTCAGGATTCCATCTGCCCCGACACCGTCCTCACCCTCTCCCCCCAGCAGCTGAAGCAAAACGGGGTCTCTGGCCGCAAGGCCAGCTACTTATATGACCTTGCGAATAAATACAAATCTGGGATTTTATCAGATGACATGGTGGTAAAAATGGACGACAAGTCCTTGTTCACAATGCTGACAATGGTGAAGGGAATTGGTTCCTGGTCTGTCCACAGGTTCATGATTCTTTCTCTCCAGAGGCCGGATGTCCTGCCAGTGAGTGACTTAGGGGTGAGAAAAGGGGTGCAGATGTTGTATGGCCTGGATGAGCTGCCCAAGCCCTCACAGATGGAGCAACTGTGTGAGAAGTGGAGGCCCTACAGGTCTGTAGGGGCATGGTACATGTGGCGGTTAAAGGAAGCAAAGGCAATAGTACAGGAAGCTGGCTCGAGAGGCCTTCAGGGTGGTGTAGTGCAGCCATTGCAGCAGATAGAGCCTCACCAGGACAGTCATCAACATCAGCTGCAGTTTGTGGAGCAAGTTAATGGCATCAGCAACACGGGGTAGAGGTTTCTGTTCTTTCCTTTNAATTAGTGGTTAGTCTGTGGAACTAGCTTGACTGATGGTTTCTTGAGACGCATTTGGCTTTTATAACTTTGATGGGTTTCGGAATTTGATTATTTGGTTTTTTGGTTGAAAAAGCTTGGGTGTATTGCCGTATTTCTTAAACTATTTCATACTTTGTTTTGGGCTTCTCAAAGAAGTCGTGGCATTAATTGAGCTGCAGTGAGGTCTCACTGTGTATTTGACGTGAGTTAAAAATTTGTAGTGAAGGCATGAGTTCTAATTCGTGACGGAACATTTGACATATTAGAAGCGCACACATGTTTGAGAATAATTATTTATGGTGTTTGTTCATGTTTTTAGGGTCTTCTATTTCTTGCTCAGGTCCTCCACCATGCTAATGGTTTGATGAATCTTTCACATTTGTTGTTGTTGTTGTTGATGATGACGATGTGTGTTTATGTTTCAAGTTTCAATGTTTCTGTTCATGATCTCTTCTTTTGAGCATAATCTATGAATGGATGACTAGATATTTAGCCTGCCCATTGTTTTACAATTGTTTTTTTACCATTACATGCCTATCCTTGTGGCTCAAATTTGTTGAAAGTATGTTGGTTTGTACTACATACCATTGTTAGTGATGGATGTTCCAGAAAAATTTGTGCTCACTGCCTGGCATATTGTGATTTGAGAACTTGAGAAACTTTTGGCGTGTCACAAAACATATTTTTATCTGTAGTTCCCTCTTCTTTGGATATGCTCTGAGTTAAGTTGTGAGCTCTTGAGATAAAAGAAAAATGTGATCTCTTTTGCATCATCTTAAAAGTTTATGCAACCGTGTTTATATAACTGTGCAATTGAGTACCAACTCATCTCGTGTTAACTCAGTATACTTTAGGTTTAAAGAAAGTTTCTCAGAGTAGTTTCCCATGTTGTATTATTAGCTCAAAGTTAGGTTCTCTGCTATGTGGGAAGACGACCTTCTTACAGGGTGTAACTTGTGCGCATTTAAGACATCAAGCTTGTGTCATTTAGTCGAAACACTTTATCTTTATGCCTAGTCTAGCCCTAGTGGGCGCTTGAGTTATTGAAAATGATTGAGTTGTGTACTTCATAAAAAATTTCAGGTAAAAAAAATTCTTCTAGCAAAAGGGAAAACGACAATATTCCAAGTGCAACCAAGAAATTATGTTTTGTTTGTTGTCAGTCGAATTCTTATCCAAGTTAGATTTTATGAACTGAAGCCTAGTGGCTTTACTTTCCCTGTAGTTGTATAATAAACATTGGATCAAAAGCTAATTAGCTATTCTCCATAAAATTTTGCGACACTACAACCATGTAAAATCATACTTCCAGAAGTATTATCCTACAGAAGTTTTCCCCATTTTTTGTGATTTTCCATTTCCCATGGAAACACACAGTGCTGTTAGGAACATGTAAAATAACTTACGAAATAAGCTTAGGTTGCCACATTACCTTTAAATCGGTGTACTAGAAGTCACCTATTCTGGATACTGATCTCAATAGTGATCTATTGCTTTTGATTTGATCAACCAAATTCTTGCTTACATCAATTTTTGTAGCTTCTGTATAGGGTTACTCGAAAGTGTATGCGAGGAAAACAGAAGTGTGACTGAAAAAGCCTGGTTTTAGCTTTGAATCCACATCTTTAAATTTGCAAGAGATCTCATATAGTACATATTCAAACACTTAATGTAGTTACTGTGGTGAAAATGGGCTAAGTTCCACTGTAATCCGGTAATCCATTTATGTGGAAGGCTGCTATATTAGAATTGCATTAGACGTTTTTTATACTGAGGAGACATAATATTCGTTGTGGAGGTTCTACCCTTAGATTTTTATGTTTATTGTACTGGTTGCTATGGGGAACAGTTTTCCTTTTTTAACCCCTTCATGAATTGTGAAACATTACTTTTAGCCTTGCTGCCTTATTTTCCTTGCTTTCTACAGTTCGATATAGTTATTGTGTTCTTTTACTTTAGGGCATGTATTTGGAACCAGTGACATCAGGAAGAAATTCAATCTGCTGCTGATTTTATGATTGGAGAATTTTCTTTACTTCCTCGACCAGCATATGACCGACAAATTCAGGTGGTTAGAAAAGTATATTCCAAGAATCTCAGCATACAGTTACCGTTTTTTTTCTAAGCTTACTTGTGTAAGCTCCTGCACTGATTGTTGAAATTATGATATATAGCTCAAATTTATGAACTTCGGAATTAATGGTAGTTTGGAATTCTGGTTAACGTAACTCTTAGTAAAAGAAAGGTGAATTTGTGATCACGTGGAATTTGTTGGATTTTGATTTCTCAGTAGAGCTCCTTCATATCTTTTAGATTTATATCAATAGATGATTGAACGAGTTGACACACTAAGATATGAGGAATATTTTAGCCTACTAGGTTAGATGGCTTATGTTTATACGCCAAAGCATACAATTTCTGGTGACTCGAAATAATAGATTCTGAAATTTCGAAATCGCAATTTCGAGCTTAAGTTTTGTCTCTGTGAAGAGAAATGCTATAGGTACATAATATTTTACATAGAGGTTTGCATAACACTCACGTTGAGTGGGTCCTACCAAAAATAAAATGAAAAATACTACAAATACATAATAAATGTACATAGAGGTGTACATAACACTGAGTCTACTTTTATTTTTGGTAGGATTCACTTAATGTGAATGTTATGTACACCTCTGTGTACAATATTATGTACCTATAAGATTTCTCTTTTTATTTTTGGTGGGTCCCACTCAATGTGAGTGTTATGAACACCCCTATATACAATAGTATGTACCATAACATTACTCAAATAAAAAATCAAATCAACCTCACTCCATGTGAGTGTTATGTACAAAAATAAATTAATTTGTTAGATATGATTTTGATTTAATCTAACTCCACTCCATTTTTCTATAAAAGAATAAATTAAGTTAAAAATTTAAATTTAAAACTTTTTGTTGGATATGATTTTGATTTGATCGGTTAAATTGTCCAAACTTTTTAATTTGTCTGCTCAAGTAAGCAGCTATGCAATAGCTTTGTAGCAGCCCAGCCCCAAGAAGAAAATAATGACTAAAGATAAAAATATCAAGAAAATAGTTGGGATATGTGGCTTGGGCTCGACCACGTGTACAAGGATCAGCTACAAGTTTTAATCTTAAAATATGAATCAACTTTTCCCGCAATTAGCTTAAGCTGCCCTTGATTTGTAATTAAATTATTTGTAATTGTAGAACTTGTTCTCTTAACTAAAAACGACTAATCCGTTAAATGTTTATACTATAAAGTACAACTCAAATTTAATCTAACTCAACTTTTTCCTATATTATTAATATAATTAATAATATTAATTAATCAACCTCACATATCATATCAAATTTAATTAATTATTCACCCACTTACATATATTATTAACTACCAATCACTTCTAACGTAGCGAAAACGTAAACAAACGTGAAAATTGAGAGAGAGCTCTCGCATTTTTTATTAGTAAAAAATCAACCACCATTAAACTATGGAATATGAGCCTTAAATAGGATTTCTAAGAAACCTACATACCATAAATTTAGGACTAAGAAGAAAACTCAACTTATCATAAACTTTTCTACTAAATAAAAAATTAAAATAATTAAATATCTTAATTAATAATAAAATAAGAAGAATAAATAATTAAACTAAAGATGTCAAATGACCATGCTTGTCCGAAAAATCCAATGTAATCTCGTCTCTATCATTCTCCCCCCAATGAAAAAGATTCGCCCTCGAATCTGGCGCAATCTCGTCTCCATCTAAATTATCACATAAGGGACGAAGTGCTTGACATTAAACACATCTGACGTTCGAATGTAAGACGACACCTTTACGCAGCTGCCGTTTTCCACTAGATGTCGCATCCCACCAGTAAATCTACCACTCCGACCATTGTTTCTTTCCCGATATTTCACAAACGATTCCCAATGGTGAGTTGCATATCTCTTTCTTCCAAAGCCTTCAAGTGCGAGCTCAAGTCCCACACCTGAACATGGGTTGTATCTGCCTAGAGGCACAAGATGAGGATTTTGCATGTAGTTCACGCCTCCTACATGAGAGACCTTCGTAATTGCAAAATTGGAGAGCTCTAATTATCAAAATAGTCCCTATCATCCTCACCACTATCACTACTTTCAATGTCCATGTCAGAACCATCTTTGTCAATCTTGTGGGGGGCACCAATTCACGTCTCTTCCCATAAATATTTTGTAACTTAAATATTTCAATATAATTATAGGAAGACTTCTTTGTTTGTGTTCCCACAACACAATACACTGGATGTGGAAACTCAGTATGCAACAATCCCAATGAATCTCGCAATATATCAAAACTCAAACAAGGCCACCCAATACGAAAAACGTGAAGGGAATTGTAACCAAAAGGGTCACACTAAAGCTCCTCCGCTTGTTGGTCCCCTCCAATTTCAGACTCTTCATGCACATGATCCTCTTCATCGACGCCGCAGGATCCTCTTTATAAAAAATATGAAGACCCTCATACTCGGTCGATCCCTGCTCATCCAAGAACTCGGTAGCTTCCAAGACCCCAGAAAATTTAGGGATCTTGACCCAGAACGATGACATTCAATGCCGACAATCGGCAAACTGACCCTCGTCCCGCACCGCCATTGTACCGAATGAATTTACCTCGGAGACACTGTCCTCAAGATCATCTTCACTGAAGAACGACGAAGGCGATCTGGAGCAGGGTGCCCCGCGAGAACCCCAACCGCGTCCACTGCGTACCCACCCGAGGCCGTCATGTACTCCGTCTGACGCACGGTTCGTACATTTTTCGTGGTCAGGGAAGCATGAGCCAGCCTGAATTCCTCGAACGTCGTGGTCAGTGCTGCGACTTGGCGGCCCAACGCTTCGAGCCTGTTGTCACGCCTGTCGTCAACAGTGTCATTCCGTTTATCCGGCATGACGCATAAATCGTACTGGTCTG